TACAGAATAATTTAATTTTATATCTTAATTGAATGTTTATGACGAGAGTTTTAGCGGAATTACTGGTAATATGAGTGTAATTACTTAATGGCTAGTTCATAGACATTGAAAGTTACGTAAAGCATGAGCTTAACGTCTTCATATTTTTGATATTTTATGTATAGAGTCATTTACTTATGATTATAGACAGGGCGTAGCCAGAACATTTTTAAGGGGGGGCCCATTTTCGAAAATTAAAAAACCGTTATTTTGTTTTCTTAAATCTATATTCATTCTACATAAGTTTAAATATTTAATTCATTATTCATAAATTAAATTTAATTTTTCGTGCTGATTTTGACATTTCTTTCATCACTTCCTCTAAATTAACTGGTTCTTCTCTATAAATACTTAATAAAACAATTATCAGATTTTCGTAGGGGGGCCCGGGCCCCCTATGCCCCCCCTGGCTACGCTTCTGATTATAGATATGTTAAGGATTTGATCCTTCTTGTTGGGACATTAGACTTACACAGAAACAATTCAAGAAATCTAGTCAGAAAATCCACTTAACATACAATAAAATCCATTCTAATAGCTACATTCTGATGTAAATTGGATCACCCAAATAGCACAAGTCGATTAATCGAATAGAAATCTTACCACAAGCCTGCATGACTCTGCCATGGTGCTAGCTTCGATTTAAATCCAGGACCATTCAAGAGTCACACCAAATTAGTGCCAGATTTATAATCGATTAATTGAGTTGTGCCATTCTGACCAGTCATTTAAACTTCTTTAATACTCAGTACTCAGCAGTCAATTTTTCAGTAGCAGTCTCATACACCACAAGCTGTAACACGAAGGTTTTTCCCCTAATAAATGATGAATTATTGTCAAATACTAATTGCTAGTCCATAACTTTCAGTTCGAATCTAAATTATTTTCACAGCCCACATCCATCTTAAAAAAAGTCTTTCCTTCCCACATCCAATTTTCTCTTTACTGCTAAGTATCATTAAACCGCGTGTGAAATTTTCATAGCCATTTTTTTCGAAAATTGATACTGTTCATAATGCCAAACAGTTTTAATCATTTGCATCATATAGATAGAAATAGATTAAAAGCTGTTGGCGATTTCAGTCAAAATAAGGCAATTTCTATAAAAATCTGGTTTTGTCTTTGTCGACTGAGTGTCATACTGAGCATTCGTGTGTTTCATTTTCCTTCTTTTTTCTCTCTACTTCTAGTTTGTCGTTTACTACTAATTCTCAATTATTTATGTCCTCACATGTTAGGTTTGTTATGAGTGCTACGATAAATGTGTCTCGTTTAAAATGTCTCATTATTGCGTACTTTTAAGAGGGCAATTTTTATATATTTATATTTTTTTGCTATTTAGTCGATTATAACGTAATTTATTAACCTGTTTTATTTTTTATGTATTGCCATTTTTTGTTGTCTTCACAATAGACATGAGTGTGTACATAAATAGTTGGACATTATTTTTATAGAGTATGGTAAGAGAAAATGTGGAATTAATTATTATTATAATGTATATAGATTGGAAAATTGATTGTAAATCAAGTGTGGAAGCGCATCTTGGATGTAGCTTTTCGTTTTCTTGAAATGAACGACATTTACTTGCCATCAGTGGGGTAAGCAGAATTTTTTGAGGTTAGATTAGCAACTTTTATGGATTTTCTTTCAGAAATTTTAGCAAGATTTAAGAATTTTTAAGAATTAAGAATTCCTCAAAAACCTTGGCTTTCCCATTCTAACTCTACAGATCCCAGCCATTCTTCATTGTTATTGGTTTTGTCTGACTTCACTGCTAGTCATCGTTTGTTTGTTACAAATACAAGGAATCTCCTGTTTTGTAGAGTGACAAAGCGGTGCTCTTAGCAACTTAGTAGTGCCTTGGTGACAATATTGTGTCCTCCAGGAAACTCATTTTAATTGTTTTACAATTTCTTGTAAAGTTTTGAGCGCTTAAATCTTAAGTTGTTGACTTAGGTCGCTGACAGACCTTTGAGTACGACATTCTACGAGATTTCGACGCTCTTAGCTACTTCCAATCCAACTCTATCTATAATAACAACTGTGCGATCTAAGAATTACTATAATATATATAATGTGTGAAGGGACCAGCCTTTCAGCTGGAGGCACTGCGATTCAAATTAAAACAGAATCAATTGTAACATATCATTTAGACCTACAGTTTATAGTGGGATCCGAACCACTTGCAAGCTCTGCACATTGCAAAGGCACGAGTACGTCATAAGACCTGATGTACCCTGCAATGTACCTAGTCACAATCCGTGTGCGCAAGATGCCGTAAGGAAGTCATCCAGATGCTAGTATATCCTTGTATACCTAGCAAAGGAGGCATATTCTATGCCAAAGACATCGATACTACACCCAGCACACGAACCGAACTTCGTTACTAGAACGGTGAAATGGAAAAAGAGCTTCGAAAATTAGACATGGCCTGGGATTGAACCCAGAACCTTTGGCACGTAAGGCCAACGCTCTACCATTTAGGTCACTGATGCCATTTCACCACTAGAATTACTAATCCCAGCCAAAATGAATCCAAACAATTGCAATTTCAATTCCAAAGCTATAATTTAAAGGTTTTCTTATTCCTGCTTATGTTATGACATGAAATAGTGTAAATTGGTGTCAATTAAAGTCAAAAATATAAGATACAAAGTATTAATTCATAAATCAGTATCACTTACCCAATAATTAAACGAGAAATGATTCAAAATAAAAATAATTTTAAATGGCAATTAATATGCAGTTTATGTGTAGCTTTATTCAAATCCATGTCTACCTTTTTATGTCCTCCGTCTTAGCTTGTAAACATTATTAATTCTCATTTCTTTTCAAACAGTTATTTTTATATTTTCCAGACACATTTTAATGAGAGGCTTGATTCGGCTATTAAACAACCCAATTAATTATCGCATAATCGAAATAAATCTTTAAGTTAATTTAAAGTCTTTTTTTTATATAAAATTAATCTATCTCTGTATACGCTTGTGTCTATACTTACATGCATAGATTTTTTTATGGAGCTATTTAAGCGAAAATTTATGAAATATTTAATGAAGTCTCTTTTGTGTGTCTCTATAACAAGCTGTATTACTTGCACTGCATAATGAAGCATTAATGCTATTCGTAGAATTTATTTTATTTTAAATGAAAATGCTCTTTTATTGCTGCACTGAGATTTAATAATTGAGTTCATAAAATAGTTTATGTGTTGAATCGGAAATTAAGATCTATAAAAAAAAAACAATTGATTTAAATTATGCGATAGCTATATGCTTATTTCTGTGAACTATATTCCTAAACCATAGGTGGCAAATACCTTGAACTTAATTTAAATCTATAATTAACAAAACTTCACTTTCAATGCCGAATTTTCTCATAAAAATCTTCCTAACAACCGTGATGACTAAGCAACAAGCTATAAATCAAAGAAATGCCTTCAGTTTCCTACTTACAATATATCACAGATTTTAATGCCGATTTTAATCGCTTCGGCATTAATTGATCATCATTACAATAATAATTTTCCTGTACTATTAGAAATCAGCATTAGGAATGGCTGGATATAGAAAGTGACATTTATTGATCAATCAATATGATTTATATTTGCTTGCTCATCACAATTTTAGTAACAAATAATTTATGAAGTCTCTATAGCAGTTCTTCTCAAACTGTTTTGGTCCATGGCACATTTTTTTACAAAAAAATTCATGACCTTTTTTGAAGTCCGGAAAAAATGAAAATAAAAGATCAATTTTGGCAATAAAATTTTTTTACAGCACATCTGCAATTTTTATTACACACTAGTTTGCCGCGGCACACAGTTTGAGAACCACTGTTCTATAGGGAGGTTTTTAAAGTTCCTATACCAAATTAGGTACAGTCAAACTTTATTGACATCCCAGAATGTCTTACATAGATTTTCGTATTCTAGGATAGTCTTACCCTATCGAGAGTAACTCGTAAATTGCTAGTCTTTTTATTTTACTACTTGCAATTTACTAGTGAATTACCATGAGAAATGTTTGATCAAATCTGCTTAAGTTCAAATCCTACGAAAAATCATAAATCATATACTTCACAAGAGCGCGCAGAAATCACCTTTATAATGTCGATTCAAATTTGTATGTGACTTTCAATTAATTATTTATCTTCCTCAGGTTTGCGTGCGAGTCATGGGCTTTCATCAGTGTTCGACTTAATTGAGTGTCCTTTAATTCACTTTAATTAAGTACACACTAATACTTTTAAAATAATTTACACAAATAAGAAAAATCAAAAGAACATGTGGAAATCAACGGTTATATTCATTTAATTTTTTTTTTCAAATTTGCTAGTAAATTACTAGTTAAATTTTAAGCGAATTGACTAGTCAATTAGCAAGTGAAAATGCGGGTCTTTGACGAAAATTTGAACTTGTATTTTGACTAGTAAATAGCAAGTAGCAAATGAAAAGTTATCCAGTAAATTACTAGGAAATTACTAGTAAATTTCTGCTATGATTAAAAACCGACCCTAGTCCTAGAAACTTTGAAACAATACAAATCGTGGGTTTCTTGGATATATTCTTGCTATATATCTTGGTAGGGCAGTGTTGCCTCTAAGACATACCCGAAAAATAAACCTTTATATACTTCATCAAAATTTACAAATATTTGGTCATGCGAACTGCAAAAAAAACTAATTATTACACATTCACATCACTTATGCAACACCCTCTTGGGTAATGAAACAATCTTCGACTTAAACAGCTGGTAAAATATATGGAAATTAGTAAGTCAAGCTTGTTAGTGAAATTACATGGATAAATTTTAATTTATATGTGTGTGGCCCAAATTACAAGCATTATGATCTTTCTCATAACCGTCAAAGAGGCATGAGCTCCAATTTGTAATGTACAAAACCAAATATTATTGTAAAGTAACCAAACAGCTGACTAACGAGAGCAAAAAATAAATGTCGTGAGATCAAATGATGATGATATTAAAGCTTTAAACAGTTTCATTCATTTTTCAGTTACAGAATTGTGAAGAAAAAAAAATCATGAGTTGAAAGAGAAAGTCAATCATTCACTTAATTGACTGCTTGTTTACCTCCTTTTGGATGTCGATTTAAATAATGATTGGCCATAAGATGCACATTCATGAGCGGTTTACCGTCAATATTAACTGTACACTCTTGAATATATTGATCAATAAGAATATCGTCTAATTTGGCATTGAAAGTCTTAAGGAGACTTAAAAAATCAGCTTTGTTCATGTAGCTGTTCTCAAGGTTCCTTAAATTTGTCATAAAATCACTGAAAATATAATTTTAAGATTATTATCTGCTTGATTTGACAAGTCACTCGGTTAGAATCAACCAATACCTCATATCTCGTTTCATTCTTAGACTTTTCGGCTTCATTGCAAGAAATTTAGCACGATCGGCATAGATGTCAAGCATTAAGACATCACGTGGTGGATTTGGCAATATGATATTCTGATAAATGACATGAATTGATGGTTTCTTGTCTTTAACTTCTTGCAAGATCTGAACAACAAAGTTGATTTTATATGAATTTGAAATTAAAACTTTGAATAGCTTGGATACTTTTATGAATGTTGGAATCTAAAGACAGTTTGTAACCAGAAGTCTACATATGTAAATCCAGAATGGAATGCAATTTTAATGTAGATTGAGGAGAATTCATGAGGTATAGCTAGTGAATGTCTGAATTAGTGTGGGATTTCTAGTTTTTGTTTTTTTTGTACATCATATTCGAAGTTCTCTAATAAAGCTGCATCAATCAAATTAGTTTAATAACTTAAGTTTACATTCTTTCAAAATTACGAGAAACTCAATATTAGCTGATTTAAATCCAAACGATCAGAAATTGTAAAAGCGCAAGTTCGAATCTCACCAAGGGCAAGTTCTTTATAAGTTTATTTTTTCCCGTCAAATTTCAACCTTAAATTCCAGAAACGAATCAAAATCAAATCCTAGAACGGTCTTACTTAGACAGCAGGTTTAAGTTAAAACAGACAGAATGTAGAAGCAAAGTTGCAATCTTACAAAACTCACCTCAAAAGCAGCATGCGAAAGATGAAACGAGTCACCAAACGAAATCAACTTCAAAGGTGAGTCAGTCTTGAAAACTTTAACCAAATTCTCATCGTCATCAACTGTAAAGAAATTTCCAGCCACATAAAGTTCCTCAATCGTTTCCGAATATTTCAATCCTAGTGCCAATTTCCTGAACTCAAAAGATGTCAGATTGTTGTACTCAACTTTAAAGACTTTTAATGCAGCGCCTTTAATGGATTTTGAGAGAATTTTACCGAATGGTTCGCCACAAAGTCCATTCCATGAGATATCAAGATACTCAAGTGATTCGTTGCTCATTAATCCTTTCATTATTTTAACAATAGCATATTGTTCATACAATCGATTATGGCTAATATCAAGTTTCACCAACGTGTCATTTTCCATGAGAACTGCTCCCACAATTTGTGCTGTCTTATAACCAAGCTTATTTGATGATAAATTCAAGTCACGACAAACATAATTTCTCATTAAAAATGATACCAGAATTTCACCACCGTCATCCGTAATCTGATTATTTGATAGATTTAAATTAATTAATGAACTGGATGTGGCAAATGCGGGAGCTAAAATTTCCATTCCTTTATCGCCAATTCTGCATCCAGCGAGATTCAATTCCCTCAACACTGGATTCATGTCAATGAATGAAGCCATAGAGTGACAACAGAAATGTTCCAAAATGTTGTTCTGCAAATTTATCGCGGTTAGTTGAGTCACTGGAATTTTACTGAATGAATCAAGCATAATTTGACATTGTAGAGATCCAATCGTAGAATTTTTTAAACAACATTCTTGCAAATTCTCCTCAATACATTGTTGGACGATCTTTAGCTTCTCCATAAAATAGCGTTTACATTCCATACTATAAAATTTCAATTTCTCATCAATATTTTCACGATATTTCAATTTATCTTTAACAGATTGCGAAGATTCCTCACTAATTGCTGATGTTCTTGCCGTTTCATTTTCAATTTCTTGCTCCTCATCCAACATAATTTTAATTCTTTTCTTTGACTTCTTCTTGAATTTCTTATAAAAATTTGCGATAGAATAATAAAATAACTACAAAGAAGAATTTGGTAACGCTTCCTTTGATTTCACTTTTATTTCTTCTTTGATTTAATTTTATTTTGGCATTTCCGGACAGAACAGATTTTTATAATGTCGTTTATTTTGTGAATTCTGAGAATTTTTTGCTTTAATCTGCTTTAATGACATGACTTGGATTTATTGTTGGTTTGTTGTAAAAGTCAAACTAAGTTGGAAATTTATGTGGATGTTAAACATGTCTTTGACCTTAAATGCGACAATCCCGAGCAAATCTCACACAACTGAACTCCAACAAACCTCCATAAATATTTTACTTAATCCAAACGATTACACCTGCTTAAAATCTCTTTAATTAAATCTTGTGGTCAAAAACCATGTGTCGTCGAAAATTGCCAATTCTCTTTCATCAGCCTATCACACACCTATAGCGAGCCAACGACTTCTCTCAATAATCCCACAAAATGTAAATTGCATAACATTTATTAAGAGATTTACATTTTAAGTATCAAAAAAATTTCTTTTTGGTTGTTATTAATGTCTCGCAGAAAGCAACACGCAAAAATGCTATAAATTTTAATAAGACTCAATCAGCCACCCAAGTATTTTCTATAGAATTTCTTTTTGGCGGTAGAAAATAGAAATTCTTTTGCTAGTTAAGGGATTAAGAATTTTTGGATATGAAATTTGAATATTTGGTTGCTTCAAGCTTTGCTTTTAGATTTCATGTTTTTAAAATGAAAATAACCCATTAATTCCTCAAACTTAACATCCACAAACACAAACCTGAATGCAGTAAATCAGCAAAGAGCAAAAATTCTTCTCTTCCGTCTTTCACCAGCTCTAGAATAAATCCACAAAGTAGGTATAATCAATAATACATTAGCGAACCAACAATGCAGTACAAAGTAATAGAAGGCAGACAAGAGAATCGATTTAAATGTACATATTGTAATAAAATTTATGAAATAGTTCATTGCCATAAATTACACAAATCTTTTTTTGCTGGTTGAAAGATGTGGTCTTAATAGTTTTGTGTTGTTTGATGCTGCAGCGCATTTATGGAAGGTCTGATATCTTGATGTTTAGCTATCTTAGGGTTTCAACTAATTGTGTAGCAAAGAGGATGAATAATTAAGCAATCTTTAGCCTGAAGCTCAACTCTTACTTTAGAAGCTACTTGTCTGGGCTAGATTGAACCTTGCTACATCACTTCCCATCTACGAATAATATATCTGATCCAATACACCCTACTTATGGCCTTATTTTGACCATACTATGTCTGATACTTACAAAATCTAGTTATGGTCTCATGTGGGCCGAATACAAATGAATCTAAACAATGTCTGAACTATATTTAAATTGAAACTCTCACTCTAAGATTGTTTTAGCTTAAAAAACCTCAAATTGTTTTAAATTTGAAGTTGCATACTTCCAATGTGACTCAAGTCTGACATTTTATCAAATTTGCCCAGAATTGCAGCTAAAACTTTCATCAACAAACTCTAGGAAATCCAATTTTCTTCTAATTTCTTCTCTCCATAACACCTTAATTCGCTTTTCATGTTTCCAACGCCCTTTCTCACTCTCAATTGCGAAGCTCTTTATTACTTTTGCATTAGATTAACAACTTTCTGCTGTTATTTTTGCTGAAATTATACAAGGCATCCGTGGTGCCTCTAATTCTAATTTTCATTGCCAATCTCTGCAATTTATTTTAGCATTTAAGGTGTCGAGTGTCGCAATATGTTTTTTATTCATTCAACAACTTCAAAAATAACAGTTCATAAATTTTACACTAGCAACAATCGCGACATGGTGGCAAATTGTGCAAAATAAAAATCAATGTATGTTACTCGCATCATACAAAATTAATTCATACGTGAAAATTATAATCAGAAAGTAGACACAAAACGTGTTATGAATGAAATATTTTACCATAAATGGACGACCAGCATGTGATTTTTGCATGCAGATGAAGAAGAGGAGCACAAAAAAGTGAAAGACTTGAAGAAAAAAAAATCATGTAAGAAGGAAGAAGCAATGATAAACAGTCAACAACAATGCTTGTAATAATCTTTCAATGAGAATGTCAGTCAGTTGATTTATTGTGTAACTGAGTTGTTGAGGAATTGTTGGACTTCAGGAGTTATTGATTCAATGGAATATGAGTTAAAGGCATTTTATGCTTTGAACTAGAAATCTTCAAAATTGATAAAATCTTAACAATAATGATTCATCTAAGCTGGAAGTAAGAGCTCTACAAAAAAAACCAAGAATTAAACGTTATTCTTACAATTAATACTTCATAGAAGTAAGAATCAACAATATCACCAAAATAACTCATCAAGTACAAACCAAACCCAAAGTTCACCATCACCAGAACTCTTCTTACAACAGCAATAAAAGAAGAAGTTTAAAAATTCATTGGATGAGCATTAGAATTGTTATTTAAAAGAATCATAAAAGAAATTACGGTTCATCTATATCACTTTTTTTATTATTCTCATAGGGGCCATTCACTTATTACGTAACGCTTTTAGGGGGGGAGGGGGGTCTAAGATTTTGTTACGGTTCAAACAAGGAAATTTTTTTTTCATACAAATTTTGTTACGAGGGGGGGGGGGGGGGGGGTCTAAGAAGTCATTTTTTCGCGTTACGTAATAAATGAACAGCCCCATATTCTTAGCATAAAACTTCCAATTGACCTATTAAGTACCTCGCTCCGTTCTCTTCTCTTGTACTATTGTTATTCAATACTTGAAAGTAAGCTTTATAGGAAATTTATGCGAGAAAAAAAAAATAAATTCTTTCATTCTTACTTATTCTCATTCAATCAATATGATCATTATTTGCGCTTAAGTGAGGTATACGGTTTTATAGAACATTAAAGAAAAAAAAGAAGGTATACCTCAAAGGCATAGATAAAGAAGAGAGAAGAAATTAAAGCAAAAAACGCACCGGGAATTGACATAGATTTTCTATACCATGGCATAAAGACATTTTCTATCGTTTATTAAAAGAGAGAGAACCGTTAATTAAACCATTAAATTCCAATTAAATCAATTCAATTCACATTTTTAATAAAAGGTACAAACTCTTGTTGTGTATGTGCTAATGTCTTGAATCAAATTGCATATCGTAGACCAGCGTAGACCGATTGGAAGTAAGTAGAAAAATATTTATGGACGATGTATATAATTTTCAATGTCCAGATACAGGCAGAATTACGGTAAAAACAAAAAAAAATTACCTTGATTTAAGAAAATGCGATAATTAGAAGGGAATCAAGCTTGTTAATTTAATCATCATAAGTGCTCATCAGTTCCTATAAAGAACAATAATGATGATTGGGAATATTAAGACTAAAGAATTTGGATAGATTGGAGTTACGCGTTCATAAAAGTTAAATGCCCATCATCGAGCATAATTATATTCATTTCCTCCTTAGATACCTTCTCTAAATATGCTCAAGAATTACTCTGACTTAGGTTCTTGCGATTGTTCTTTAACTGTAGTTAGCATTTTTTACGGGAATATGGCTAAGGAAAATTGTGGTTTGGCAGGAACGATAAGTCCTTCCTCTCACACTGGCAAATTCGCTTACAAATGACTTGATACCCCAGATGAACATCTGATATTACCAAATCTCAAAAAATTCCCGCTCAAAACAAACGTACATCTTTAAAATGCTTTAAAATGGCAATTTATCAATCATGAAGGCGTCACTATGACAGATTAACATCAAATTTGGAGATTATCTGTTAATTCGCTGCCGTGTGACCATCATGATGCTCTAATGATCAATAAAATTACCATTTTATAGTTATTCACTGTGTGTATTAATAGCCTAGCGCTCCAATTCTTCAGCCTTTGTTTTTTACTCGGTAGTATAGTGGTGAGTATTGCTACTCAAAGAATAGTAGAGTAGTAATTATTTTACATACCTTTTGCTCAATTTAATTCTACCTGGTTGTTTCCAAAATGCGCCTTTCAATCTTATGTCCAACATTTCCCATTGCGTAGTTGTTAATTTGCAGTCATTAGGTCTTGATTGTTGAAAATCATATTACTTAAAATTCTATGCCTGTTAGAGATGGTTCATTAAGCTAATACGAAGAACATTCTTTAGCATTCTCCAATTATTCAATCATATGACTATCGAGTTTTCTTGACAACGCAACTCGCTAGTAATATATAAGCTCAAATATCATAAAATTTTTTAATGTATTTATTTTTTAATATATTTTTATAGACTTATCCAGTTTAGCGGTACGACAAGCAACAAAAAGCGGGTAATTGCAAATCAGTATCTCAAATATCCACTCAATTTCAAGTAAAGCTTTTTGTTCAGCTAACAAGATTGAGAGAATTGAATTGAGCGGCATTGTATATTGAAATTTATATTTTGAGTGGGTGTCATTCACGGTTGACTATATAACTCATTTTTCTTCTTCTTCGTCTTGCATATTATTTTATATATTATTGCTGGTGTTGTTGATCAAAGCATGTGGAGCTATATTTATATAGATCACGTAAAATAATACAAAACGTGCGAGATCTCAAATTGTTTTATTTTTATTTCGATTTTTTAAGTGCACTTTATTCAACTAGGATGGATGCTAAAGACTTTTTTGGTCAGAATGTCCGTCTTAAGCTCTTATAGTCAACATCTATAGTTGATGAAGGCCATTAGCAAGTGAGAGATAGCTTTAAACCCTTTCTAAGATAAGGGGCCGTTCACTTATGACGTTCAGGCAGGGGGGGGGGGGGGTCAGACAGAAAAGAACAATGGAAATTCCTGGAAATCCATTGTTTGTTTTTGAAAAATGACCGTTAATGTCGGACGTCATAATTGAACGGCCCCTAACAGATGGATCACAAGGAAGTAACAAAATGCTTAAAATAATTACTCAAGATAAAATGCGCTTTTTGCAATCTGAAGTGACCATGTCAATGTTAGTTTCCCAACTCTTGCACTTTA